CCGCCGTCCGCGGGCGCCGCGACGGACGCGGAGCTCGCGGAGATCGCGCTCTTCGCCAAGCTCACGCGCCTCCCGAACCTCCTGCTCTGGCCCATGGACGCGGAGGACGCGGCGCCGGGCCGGTAAATTCCGGGGCACGCGTGGGATCTCGTACGTGATTCATGATGATCGATCGAGTGGTCGATCCCCTTTCAATGCCTCGGCCAGGAGGCCTGCCAGGCCTACGCGGAGGCCGACGCGGAAGTCTACGCGGCGTCGTCGGGTCAATCGTCGATCGCTTCGCTCGAGCGCTCGAGGTAAATTTACGCGCAGGGACTGACCTGTCGTCGACTAGAGGTGTCGGACGGCCCTCGGCGACGGCGGCGCTCGAGCCAAGGGTTTTCGCGCGGTACCTCCGCGAGCCGGCGGCCGCGCGGCGCCTGCGTGCAAGGCCGGTGTGTTTATCCAGAGGGGTTCGACGATGCGCCGGCTCGCCATGATCATGGCGGCGGCGCTCGCGATCTCGGGTGTGGAGACGACGAAGGCGGCGGCGCCCGCGATCTCCCGCGTGGCGACGACGAACACGTCATGGTGGCGACTAGCGCTGGCGGCGCCGGCGATCGCGCCCGACTTTGCCCTTCTGTCGAAGCGCGTCTGCAAGCGCAAATCAACCTTCATTGGCAAAAACATGAGGCCCTATTTCCCGACAGACTGCGCGATCCTCACCAATGCGCCCCCCAGCGGAGGAGACGGCCTCGGCCACGTCGGAATGATCACACTAAGGATGATCGGAAAGGGGAACGGCCCGGGCCCGGGCCCGCACTACTTCCAGGATGTGATTAGCGAGGCGGCCGTCTTCCTGCGCGACGTCGACGGCCTCGGCGACGGCTTCGCACCGTCGCTCTACTGCCACGAACGAGATTGGCTCCACGCGGGGAAGCAACGCGTTACAGGGGAGGAAATCGCTGGCGTTCAAATCGCGGCCCGCTGGCGCACGGGCGACGCGGTGTTCCGGGACCACTTCGAGTGCTTCGTCGCGCCGCCCCTGGACGAGTGGTTCGGCTTCGACGCGCTCCCGCCGGCGGACGACCCCGCGTGGGAGAGGCGCGCGGTCGCCGAGACCTACGCGGCCGTCGACCGCGACGCCTTCGTCGACTGCGGCGCGGCCGACGGCGAGCTCCGCGTCGTCGTCCACGTGCGCCTCGGCGACCTGATCCACCCCGATCTATCCGTGAACGCCTCCGCGACGGCCCTCGCCTCGATCTCGATGAGGAGCCAGGGCGGGCACCTGCGGAACGCGCTCCGCGTCGTCGCGGAGTTGCGAGCGCGGCTCCCGGGGCGCCGCGTCCACACGCTCATCCTGAGCGACTCGCCGCCGGAGACCGTCGCGGCGAGCCTCGAGGGTTTGGACGTCGGGATACACGTCGGCGGCGCGCGGGGCGACGGCGCGTCGCACCTCGTCGACGGCCGCACGGCCGGCCTCGAAACCGACTTCGACGTGAGTTTCCACGGCGCGGGCAACCCGCTCGTCGCGCTCCACTGCATGGCGGCCGCGGACCTGCTCCTCTGGCCCGAGGAGTGCGGGAACTCCTGGAAAAGAAAAATCAAACGAAAAAAACAACAAACAAAGAAAACAGGCCGTCTGGTTCGTCGCCTTCGTGACGGGGAGCACGCCGAGCCATTCGTGACGGGGAGCGGGCCGACTGCGACTCTAAAGCGGTGCAGCAAGATGGTCTTGTTCGCGCGCAAGCTGGCGCTGCGGGGCATACCCCGCGGACTTCCGGTGAAGCCGCTCGGCGCGACGGCCGTCGACGCCGGCGTCGAGGAGTTGCTGGAGTTGCTGGGAAGCGGATTTCCCGTGGAGCCGCTCGACGCGTCGGCCGTCGACGCCGGCGTCGACGCGCTCCTCGGCAGCGGCGCGCGAGCGCAGGTGTCGTGTGTCAACATGAACGAAAAAGCGAAATGTGATCGCGAGGCGGATTGCCGATGGAAACAAAAATGCCACGGGGAGAAGTGCTGCCGGCGGGTCGCGCGGCACGAGCGGCCGTTGGGCCTCGGCCCGCGCTACGACACGAGACCGGCGAACGTCTCGGAGACGTCGATCATCTTCATCAAGGTCGCGAAATGCTCGAGCAGCACCGCCGGCGGCGTCGCGCGGCGCGTCGCTTCGCGACACGGCCACGTCGGCTTCGCTTCCAATCGCTCCGCTTCCCATCTGTATGTGAAAGGGACGACGACGAGTCCGGGGTTCCATGGGAATCACCAGAGATTCGTGTACCTCGTCGATGAATTCCGGGAGCGCGGCACCTGGCGCGCGTTCCTCTGGACGGTCGTGCGCGAGCCGCTCGCGCGGGGCGTTTCCGCGTTCTTCCACTTTGAAGCCACGAAACACCGAGGGAACCACTCCGACGCGAATGTCGTCGCCTACCTCGAATCCGAGGGGAACTTTCTCTGGAACTACCTGCGAACGAACAAAAGATCCGCGCCGCGGCCGGGCGACGTCGACGAGCTCCTGGACGTCTACGACCTCGTCGGGACCACGGAGCTCTTCGACGAGACGATGGTGGTGCTGGCGACGCGCCTGGGCGTGCCGCTCGGCGACGTGCTCTCGGTGAGCGCGAAGAACACGAGCGTCGCCGGGGCCCGGGACCCCACGACCGGCGAAGCGTTCGTCCACGCGG